GATTTTGATGACAGAAAATATAATCAAACATTTGTTTTAAGAAGAAAGCAAAAAACATGATTAGATTAGTCAAATATGTCTCGAGATCGACAAGTACAGTTTTGTTCTATAGAAATTTTAAAAGAAAAAAAAAACGCATGACAAGAATATTGGTTTAACATTTGGTAATAAAAAACCATGGCATCGATCTCTCTTCGTTTCAAGATATTCCAAATACATTATCTCAATGGAAACAAGCTTAACAATCGTTATTGTTATTATTTAAAAATTAATTATTTAATTTCACTTAAATTAAAAAATATTTTTTCATATTCATTGACTTCTCTATTACAAAAAAAGAAAATCTGTTTAAAAATAAAATTTCATTTTTTTACCATTGAGTATATCGTGTTTAAATATTTAATTGTGAGTAGTATCTAATAATAATATTTATCGAATAGATAATCAACCATACTGAATATATTATCGTCTAAGAAGATTTTCTTTACTTTTACATTTGTTATTTTTTTTTATTACGATTGGTTCCTAGTATTGACAAATAAGAAATAATTGTCTATTGATCGCCGCTACTCACAATATCATATTATAATTTAGGTCCACAGAAGTGAGCCAAACATGTGAGCCAAAGTCAATAGGCTCATTTCATATAGAAGTTATAAGCCAATCAGATGAAAAGTCCATGTTTTACAACCATCCAAAATGATATTTTTCTTTTTCAACGCGATAGAGACATAATAGAATAGCAGACAATGTACATCATAAACATGAATTGTCGGTTTCTTAATTTTCTGTTTTTTTTTCAGGTGCAAACTTTGAACTAATTCAGAGAGTGTTGTATAATTCGGTGATTTTCGAATATTATCGACAAGAATAATATGATTCTACTTCAAATTTACATCTAATCTCTTATTTGATACTTATTTTTTTTTTGTTTTCAGATATAAAAATTAATCATTGTCAATGAAGAAAAGATTTTAAAAGTTATATTAGTGGCGAGATTAATTACTGCCAATTGTATGTTGACTGAATCTTAGAATAATTTTAAAACAACATTTATGTCGTAAGAATTCATACAGCTGCATGCTCACATATCGTGCTTATTTTGCAATATTCTGATCGTTATCAAATTTAAGTTTATCAGCTACTCTCGACCAAAAAAGCATAATATTTTACCTAATTTTAAGCTGAAAGAATATTGAGTTCATTTTATCTAATTTTAAACTTAGAGGATAGTGTGAAAAATTTTCACGTTCATATATAAGCAAAAGCGCTCATGTGTGTTAAATTTTGCTGCATTTTTGCATTTGTTACAAGTTATAAGTTCATTCTCCACTGTTAACACCATCAAGACTTTTCAGGCATGCTTATCATAATATATCGACTTGAGAGAGATGAAGTAAATTTTTTCAAACAAAGAACAAAAACTGTCGGTGTACCAAATTCTGTACTAGTTCTTCAGTAAGTAAATTTCTTGTCCTATTTTGTCATCTTACTTATTTTAATGCATTCGAATTGAAAGATTATGAGCAATATATAATATATAATTTGCTTTACAAAATGTTCTAAAGCTGCCTATTTTTATTGCGAAAATTATGAATGCTGATCAGTTTTGAATATGAAATATTGATATAATCGTGACTTCTCTAGAATTTCAAACAAAAAATAAATATTGTATTGTTTCTGTTAATGTAAGTATTTTTAGTCTTATCTCTGTAAGTGCACAATCAGTCTTTTTCTTACCATAGTTTTACTTATTGAAGCAATGTTCAAGATTTCCACTATTGTTGATGCATCAGCACATATGTCCACTAGATTTCCTTCTATAAAAAGTGTTATAAAATCTGTATTTAAAATTTGTATTTTATAAATACGAAAGTATTTTTTTTTATACATTAATAAACTTAAAGTTGAAGAAAATGAACTACAGGAAATCTCTTCCAACTGACCATCGTTAGAAATTCTGAAATGTTCAGTTTCAAAAGATATTCATTTAAAGGAAGCATCCTATAATTTGCTAGATGTAACAAATTTTCAAAACAGTAGCTTCTTTACTAGTTTTGAAATAGTCAATGATCATTGCCTGTGGTATTCATCTTTCTTTCCTCGAATATTGAAGAATCCAAAAACTTTTTAACAGAATGCAAAACTTCTTTTTATAATTCACAACTTATGTATTATTGTTTTGGACTTGACACATGAATTTGATGAACATTCTCCAATGATTCAATCAAAAATATATTTATCAAATTTTACAATGTGAAAACTTTCGATCTTTTATTTAATACTTTGTTTTTGATTTATTTGAAAGCCACTTAATTATTTTTCTGTTTTGTTTTAAAATATTGGATATAGAAGCAGATGAAATGTTCAATTTTTCAGCTAACCAATTTTGTGAGAAACGGTAAACACTATTTTTATCAATAAGTAATTGAATTATTTTCACTTAATGAAATGATGTTGAGAAGTCATTACTCTCATTGGTGTGCTCATCTATAACAAACAATGAATAGTGCTTTTAATGCAGCAGCCAGAAAAGATAAAGAATGAGAGGTAAAAAGTGTACGTTTCTTCATTTAAAGGGATTAAAAGAACAATTGAGACTGTAAAGACAATGTTCAAATTACACCAAGGTAGTATTCACTTACGGTATATGTATCTCTAGCAAAAGTCGCTAGAATGTTGTTGCTGAATTCTTTTCCACCATCTTATGTAACTAAAACTTATGTTCATAGCAATTTTTTTTATATTGTTCTTTCATAACTCATTTGATAATAAATGTATATTTTCGATTTTTATTATTGAAATAAATTGAAAATAAATCTTCGAACACAAAGCAAATTCGATAGATATTTATATTTATGAATCAATACTAACAAGTGACACTAAAGTGGCAAAGGCATTCAAAATTTGACTACTATACTTCGGAATAGGAGATTCTTATTTAACGAAATTTATCGTATGATATTGAGCTATTGTTCATCGAATATTTTGAATTCCAACTTCTGGATTTCAGAACACATAATCAATGTCAACCGATCATTTACTAATAAAAAAAACCGTAAAAATGAAAAGAAGTGAAGAAAACATGAAATATTAGATACAATGGAAAACAATCCAATCATGCACGACATCTTTCGATAGCTGTCTCATATTATCAGTCAAGATAGGTGAAATATGGACTGTGGATTCGACTTTGGTTCACGTCGAGTTTGGTTCACTTCTGACAACCTATAATTTATGTTTCATTTTCAAAATAAATTTTGTAAATAACTGTTCGAATCTCATAAATTTTATTTCATTTATAAACTAGGTGTAGTAATCTATTTATATACCTACTGGACAAACCAAAATACAAAATTTTGTTATTTATTCAATAATATTTTCATCTTCTAGATAATTGAAATTTTATTCATTTACTGTCTTTATTCAATTTTATCATATATGTCTGATCAACGGATGGATTCCGAATTGATTTTATTCATGGGATAAAGAAAACAATCATGTATTTAAATTGGGTCTATTTCTGCAGGAAATCGATGAAATATGAAAGTAGTATTCTAAATTGGAAAATGTCTGGATCTTTTTTTCTGTGATTTCCTGTTGTATTCGACGGTAAATGACTAAAAATCACTAGAAAAATCTGGAGACATTTTGGTATGATATATTGTTTCCATGTTTCATCGATTTTCGGATAGATACCATGATTCTTCCGATCAATTTCATCGAAATCTAGTTGTTTCCGGAGGTTGGAATTATCGACTTAAATAGATAGATTTTAGGGAATATAATGTTTATGGTATCTTTTAAATGTAATAAAAAATCTTGAATATTAAATCATTTTCTTTCATTATTGAATTATTAATTCTATTATTCAGACTATATCATCAAATTCATTGTGATGGTTCTATTCAGTCAAAATCGGTAAATATGTTTTCATTTTACATTCAAGTTATTAATAAATCATATCTTATGTCAATAATACCATTAAATTATTCATATTACTACTGGTTGATGTTTTAAATTTAAACTCTTTAATTCATCGAATTTATTTATGAAATCAATTGGAATAAATTCTTGCATTTTTATGTCATATAAAATGACTAAATTTACATATTATTATATTGATTTTAGCGAAACATTAGCATCGAAATGCTTCGTATTTGATAAATTTTTTCGTAAAATGTTTATTTGTTTTTTTTTACCACTCCTCATTTATATAAGTTAATGATTATAAAAGACCTGTCATCAGTAAATCTATGATATATATAATAAACCTGCTTAGATATTGTTTATTAACGATTTTCTTTTCCAGCTAAGTCAACTTTTATTTAGTAAACAAAAAACTCAATATCGTAAGTTTAAAAATGAATATGAAGTACGAAAAGAAGCATTCACACAATTGGTTATTTCTAGCTTCTAGATAATGATTAGACGTACTCATATCCTATTACAATTGCTTGAATAGCGACTGTTGTATTGTTAATAGATAAACGATTTTCATAGTGAATTTGATGATTAGATATATTAAATAATTCAATATGAGATAATAAACATTGATATCATGAAATTAGCAATTAAACTTATAATACAAAATCCTTTTTCAAGAACATTTCTCAAACGGAATATTCAATGAGCAATTGTTTTTACTACTTGAACCGTCTGATTCTGCTGAATCACAAACAAAAGCCGAAAAAAAAAACATCAATGTCCTTCGGAATATAACAGAAATAATATCGTATTGAAATATCTTAAAGATAAAAAATGTAGAAGAAATGTAAATATTATTACTTCGAGCAAAAGATGGAAGATTTGAAATATTCTCATCGAACATAGAACATATCGTATAAATCTCAATACTTTGAATCACGTCTTTCGTTTTTTTTTCTCCTATTCTTATCTCTCATACTATTATTCATTCTTCGACTTTTTTTTAATTTTAGATAAATACGAATCGTTCTTTTGTTATTGATTTATTTGAAAAAAAAAAAAAGAAAAGAAAAATGGATGTTCAATCAGATACATCAGCAATAGTAGATGATGAAAATTTAGCTTTACTCAATTCAGATAATGAATTAGATGTATCTGTCACACAAAGATGTATGTTTTCAAATCTATTTAATAATTATTTATTTTGATTTTCTTTTAATTCTTTTTAGCATCTATGTCATGGATTATGGCTGCAGGTCTTATTGTTAATGCAGCTATGGGTGTAAGTTGTTAATTAAATTATATAGTAATATAAATTTTTCTAATTTAAGAGGACCCATTTTCGAAATTTCTCTGGAATGACTCTACGAAAAACTATGAAACCTTCAAAACAGATAGATCTCGATAAGGAGAGCAAAAGTTATCATAGACTCAACATTTCTAGATGCTTTCTTCATGGAGATATAGGGATAGCAAAGATCAAAAATGGCTAGAAGTCCTCCCGCAAAATTCTATACTTAATTTTTTCGAGTTCCAATGTTCTCATGACTATTAGATTGATTTTGAGAAAAATGCAAAACAATCTTTCAGAACTTTTTTCTCCAACTAAAGTGATCGAAAACTGGCGGCGTGAGAAGTCCATGATCCATACTCTCAGCACCTTAAGAGATTATCATTAGGAGATTTTTGCATACAAAGAATAATCGCAACATGTAATTTCCTGTTAGGAATTCTCAGAGTTGGGTTTAACAAAAGTATTAACTGACAACGAAGAGCCCTCATTTATTATAGCATTTTGACAGAAGACGCTTCAAAGATAGATTACCGGTGAAAAATCAAAAGTCGAAAAAATTTTAATTTTAACCTCCAGAAAAAAAGGAGAGTCTTCTTAAATGGACTATTGGTAAATACAAATGAATAGGAGACTTAAATTAAAGATGAGAATTTTAGTTATCTTTGATAAAATTCTATTTTTATATTAACAATAACATCAGATAGAAATATTTCTTGTGAGCTCTCAATTATTACAAGTTTATTGCTGTGAAATCCGAGACTTTTCCCCAGTTTTAACAACATGGATTGTATTTGATAGAATTCGAAATTGAATTAATTGTCTCACAGATTTATTGATTAGTCAGCTAGCTTAAGGAACAATCTATGAGATCATTACAGGTGATATTTAAAAACAGCATTCGCACATATTGTGTTTTACAAGAAAAAAAAAACATTAGTTCGTTTATTCATACAAATGTTATTTTTTCTATGATTAGGCTGGTCTTTTGAATATAGTCAAAGCTTATGACGATGCTGGTGGTATATTTATTAGTTCAATTCTTCATGGAGTAATTTTATTAATATTAATTTCTATTATATTTTATTCTGTATGTAATACATTAGGTTGTTGTTATATTGGTACTTGGTGCTTATGCTATTTTATTTGTATGTTCTGATCAATCAATATCATCATATGAAACATTTGTTCTTATGAAATGTGGAAAAGTTTGGCAAAGAATTTGTTCTGCTTGTATTATATTATATATGTAAATAAAATTTTCAAAAAAAAAAAAAGGAAATTTTTATAATAATTAAAAAAAACATATATTTTAGGTATGGTTTAAGTATAACTTTTTTTATTATTATTGGAGATCAATTAGATCGATGTATGTAAGTAAAATAAAAGATTTTTCAATAATAATATTATTTGATTTAGTTCTTACTTTTTTTGATCCATTGTTTTGTCGTCATTGGTATTTTGATCGTCGATTTACAATAGCCATTACATCATTATTACTTATATTTCCATTATGTTTTTCAAAAACAATTAAATTTCTTCAAATTCCTAGGTATTAAATACAAACAAAATAAATTCAAATATCATACATCAGAGATATGCACCGTCCGAGCGGAGGTTATCGTGCCTTAATCACGCCAGCTGTTACACTCTTTTACTGGAAGTTTTTTTAATAAAGAATGTACACCAAACGCTGAAAAGTTGAGAGAAGAGAATTGTAAAGATCATAATATTTAAATTCGTCTTCAACTTAAACTTATGTCAATTTAACTACAAAATAAGTTGAAATGAAAACGATCACCCTATAAGACAAGATATATGTTTAGGTTATATCCTGGCTAATTAAATGTTCGTTCGTGATATTTTCAACTTTACATTGTTGTTCATACGTAAGTGTTCAGAAATGAAAGACTATTCGAGCCTGTGAAGTTGGTCTCGGATCCGAAAAATTTCGAATTCAGCAGGCTCTAGTCATCTAAGAAATGTGTATGATACACTAATCACTGAATACAAAACAATGGAAAAAAATATCTTGTATCTTTCGAGCGACTATCCTATTCCGAGTATATCCAAGAAACATTATAACGCAACAAATATGAGGGAAAAAAAAATTTTCATTTAATGTTAGGTGTAACCGCACTTCTGTTTTTCGGACGGTCGCTGCCTCCCACTTCATTTTTTAGGCATGGTGCATATCTCTGTGACACATATTTCTATTTAGCATGTTAGGGGTATTAGCCATTATTTATGTTGTTATTATGGTACCGATTGAATATTTTATAAAGAGACCAACAGATGTTTCAATAAAAACAAGGTAAAAACAAATAAAATTTATTAGATATTTTAATTTTCTTTTTGATGATTTTAGTCCAGAATCATGGACAGATATTTTCTTAGTTTTACCAACAATGTGCTTTTGTTATCAAGTTTGTTTTTTTCTTTAGTTTTAATTTTAATTAAATCATTTTTTTTTATAGGCACATGTAAATGCTGTACCAGTTTTTGTTGCATTAAAAAGTCGTGCTGATTGTATAAAAGCAACATTAGCATCAACAATTGTTCTTATTCTTAGTTATTGTTTCGTAGCTATATGTGGTTATCTTACATTTGGTACTAAAGTTGATCATGATATTTTAATGTCATATCAACCAATATCAGCCGCTGTACTTATTGCTATAATTATGGTAGCAATTAAAACTTATACAGCTTATCCAGTAAATTTATTTTGTGGAAGGTAAAAAGAAAAATGAATTATTGAATTATTTGAACTTTTCTTTTTGTTTCGTTTTGTTACAAACAAAAAATTAGAACAGCAATTGAGTCATTGTCAAATGAATCAACAACATCATTGATAGCTACGAATCAAAGACAATCAGCATATCGTCGAATTTTAATTGTTTGTCTTTGGTTTTTTTCAACATTAGCTGGTGCAGTTTTTTTACCAAATATTTCTGTGGCAATACATTATTTAGGTGCACTTGCAGCTAGTTTCATATTTATATTTCCAGGTATAAAATATTCGATTATTACTGGGTTTTTTTTTTGTTTGTTTTAATTAGAATTTTTCTTTTATTATTTAGGTCTTTGTTTATATTTTCATATTGAAGAACAATGGATTAATTCATGGGGAAATATTATCTCAATATCTATTGCTATTTTTTATGTTGCTATTGGAGTATTTGTTACTGTATTAACATTACTTCAATCATTAATATCTGATATTACTGCTAACGAAACTAGTGAAACAAAAACATGTTAATATTGTTGAACTTGAATAAAATTCATATTGATCTGATTTTATTTTTTATTTGTTTTAATTTTTGTTTTAAATTAAATAGTAATGAGTATCCCATTTAGAAATACCCCTAAGTGTATTCTTCATCTACGTAGTAAGAACAAATGATTATTGACAAGAAATTTTAATGTATTTTTTTGATTCATTCTGTTTAAAAAGACTTGAGTACTTATTATATGATAATAATACAATAAAAAGTATTCTACACACGAGATTAGTATTTCCGTAATTATAAATAGAAATATTTCAATGTGACTAGAGTACTTGTTATTTATATATAGAAATGTATATAGTTCAAAATAACGTGTCCTTGAAATAGTTATATTGGAATTTTAAGAATGCTAAAAATTATTAAAGTTAAGTCTGTAGATGTACAGTAAAGTTTCCCTGTATTCTAAAGAATGAATTCATGGTGGAAGATTCTCAAGTGTCGAAGTGCTTTTGAGCCAAGACTTCGGGTATCTTGTAGACCTTAATAAATTATGTCTACTATAAAAATGGTTCATGCTCCTAGCACTTTTCTGAGAAGATCGAATGTTTTTACTGTTACAATAATAAGAGTTATCTTGTCAAAAAAAAAATCACTATCTCAGCCAATATAAATTGAAACGAGCTGAGATTTTTCTCATGTAGTAGATAATGTGATAGTATGAGCACAAAAGAGCTTAGAAAATGTTAACGTTATTCCAAATGTTATGAAGAAGGACACCAACTTCATCATCGTCGCCTATTTCGTTGAAGTTCGGATTTCATTCAGAATCGTCAGATTCAAGGTATTCATTGACATCATATTTCGTTATTTCATCTGTAATATGATCAAATGAAGTTTTACTTTCTACAGAAAGTCAATGACAATTGATAATTGAATTCAATGTTTCAGCCAGATAGTTGGCAACCTGTTGTTCATATATTGTTGTTAATTGAAAGATTAGAATTTGCAGATGCAACCGATTGAGAAAAGTTCTCTGAGCGAAAAGAAGACATTATCGATGCATTAATTATTTTCATTAGAAACGAGCAAAATTAATATTATATAAGAAGTCAGGTTATGGTATACTGTTTTCGTCTCTCTTAAAAACATGTGTTATGAATTCATTTATTTTCATTCAAAATTTAGCATCATTCGTATACGATAGAAATTACTTTATATTTAACTCACAATATAAGTACTGTGATAGATATCAGAAATAATGAAAAATAAATATATTATCATAGCAAATCACAATTATCAGGCATGCGAAAGTGTATTGCAATATAAGTACTCAATTTTCTAAAATTTTTAATCATATATCTCGTAATTCTAAGACGTAGTATAATAATTGACATTTAAAACACTGTTAATGTTTTTTAAAACTTTTGTGCTCATCCTGTCACATTATCTACCACATGAGGAGAATCTCAGCTCGTTTCAATTTATAATAGTTGAAATAGTGATGATTTTTTTAAATAAGATAACTCTTATTGGTGTAACAATAAAAACATTCGATCTCCTCAGAAACAAGCTAGGAACACGAATTCTTTTCATAGTAGACATAATTCATTAAGATCTACAAGATGTATAAAATCCAGGCTTAAAAGCACTCCGACAGTTTATTTATAGAAGGTTAGAGGTCTAAATAAGCCATATGTGTTCTTCTTTGATTAATAGATAGAAGGATTTATGGCAATGAGAAATATTGCTATTGTTATTTTTAATAATAGTACATGTAAATCCAATTTTTTGACGATGGAACAATTCTTCTACTGAACAAAGGAATATTCTTGTAAGTTTCAATAGAATATATTAAAAAATAAATGAGACTATGCAAAGTTTTTGAAAGTGTATTTTTTATCTTATAGAAAACTTGTTGATAATCTTGTATTGTATATCGTATTGTTATAGAAAATTTTAAAATGAATTCTTTTGTTTATTTTTACATAAAATAAATTATCTTCGAAAGAAAAAAAACACCAATTTTTATTGTTCTCTAATATTTGTTATGTGGTTTAATGATATCTTTCGATTAATTAAAATTGCAGTGTTTGAATCAGTTATATTTATTATTGAAAGTGTTCAATTTTATGTTGTTGTTGGTGTTGTTGTTAAATTTCTTATTGAATCATATGTAAACATAGAATTTGGTTTATTTTGTTCATGTTTATATGCTACATAATGTAAATGTCGTCCACGATGATTTGATGTGTTTGTACGAATTATTAAAGGATGTTTTTTACGAGTAACTGATACTTTTTCACTATGACGTCGATAATAATTAGATGTTTTTGGAAAATTTCGTTGATCATTTAAATATGACACATTTTTTGATTTTCTACACTTAATATCTTGTATAGAAAAACTGTCATAACTTTTTTTTCGATTATTATTCGTATGTAAAGTAACTAATGATTCTGAACAATGAGAAAATGGATGAAGATGATATTGAGATTGTATTGATACATTAGAAGATTTTTTTCTTATATGCTTTATATCGTCACGACTTGTTCTATTTTCTGTTTGCCGCACAAGATGATTAGTTCGTGATTGCGACTCCCAAGAGCTTGCTTGTGTTATCTTTAAATATAGAAAGATGAAGATGCATGAGAATAAGTCTTTTACTTCTCTACTTCTTTTGATGATATCCTTCCTTCCTTCCTTTTCCCTGATATTATTTAATAATTAGATGTGAGAAAAAACAACAACCTCAGAACATAACATAATGACTTTGCCTAGGGAAAATACTTACGTCAATTTGTTGTGAATGTCGTTGTATATTTTGAATCGATGAATTTGTTCGTGGAAATGATGGATGACTTGTTATACGTAAAATTGTACTTCGATCCTTTGTAGAATGAAAACAAACACGAGTTAATTCACGACGAAATTTTCGATTAAAATATGTAAAAATAAAAAAATTCACCTTCAAAAAAAAAATAAATAAATAAATTTTAATTATTAATCTTTAATTAAACAAAGTTTTCTTCTTACTGCACTATTAACAAAAATTAAAAAATTTGATATATCATAACAAATATAAAGTATTGGATGATTTGGATAAAACATATAAAGATAATGAAGAATTGATGCTGGAACTTGACATAATATAAATAAACCAATTAAACATATAACAGAACGTGTTATTGCAGCTTCGCGACTACGTGATATATTTGTTACACATTCTATACGTGGATTTTGTACATGTAATGATGTAAAACGTTTAAGAAAATTTGAACTAGCATGAATACTTCGAATAAGTTCAACATTAAAATAAGATAACATTAATAATGGTAATATACTTTGAAAAATACTATAGAGAACTATTTAGAAAAAGAAAAATAATAGAATTTCGATATAGAAACAAGAAAAAAACATCTTCTTACTAAGATGAACAATATATTGATAAACACGATTTTCAAGTACTTTATTTTCTATAACAAAATGATCAATATATTCAGTAAGATTTCCAATAATAGTTAATGTTTCACGTTGTAATTCAGTTTTATATTCAAAAAATCTTGGTAATGAATATATAAAACCGAAACAATAAATTATAACAACAATATAACTATAAAAAAAAAAGAAAAGAGTGTTTATTTTCTCAATCGTATTTCACATATCTGCGAGAAGAGGAGGAGGAGGAGGAGGTGTAGCAATTTCTTTAAGACAGGTGAAAGTTTTAGTTTCGTTGGGGAAAAAAACTATAAAATTTACCTAGCTCGTTTTGAACTATATGTATAATGTAACATTGGCCATTTTATAGCAAACCATCGATCAACAGCAAAACTAGTAGTTATCCAAACGCTTGTAAATTGAAACCATATTATACAAGGATAAACATATGGAAATATATGTTTATGAAGACGTGATGAATAAAATAATTCACTTTGTTGATTTGGAGGAATTGAAGCATTGATTGCTATAACAAGACCCATGAATAATAGACAACTATCACTGATACTTAAACTAGCTAAATATGTTGATACATTATTACGCTATTAGAAATGAAATAAGTTAGAATATAATTAATTATGAGTCGAGTTGAATTTTTGTAACGATTTGTTAAACTTACCATGTGACGACGAGTAAAAATGTACACAGAACATAGAGCAAGAACAAGTCCAATTGAACATAAGGCTGTACCTATAGATACAATAAAATTAAATTACTGAAGAAATTTTAATTGAAAATTTTTCCTTACCAACATAGCCAAATAAATAATGCGTAAATAACATGAGCCACATATTAAATAAAGTATGTGCTCATTTATGTTAACTGTCAGATGCAATATAATGTCCTAGAAAGTTGTAATGATGAAAGGCGTCATAGTATGACTACTTATACTATTACATTACAATAAGAGATAATACTCACTTTCCTTTAAGATAAAAAAAAAAATAATCTCTAGCTTTCTTTCCTTTATAAAAGATTATGTTTTTTATTGTTTCCCTTTTACAGATATATATATATAGATATATATGTAATGTTTAGCATACAAAATTTTTTTTTTTACAATAGGGAACAGGTCATGCGAATGACGTTCTTATGAACTATTAATAGAGAATTTGAATGACAAAAAAAAATAAAAAAAAGCTATCAAATCATTGAGATTTCGCGAAAGTAGATTACACTACTTTGACAGTTTCTTTTTTATCATTTAACTTTTAAGTAATATCATTATATATGACTATAGAGTTTACTATACCATGTTTTTCATGTCATAACATGAAGAACAACCGGAAACGGAAAGAATAAATAGGCTGACTAGGGTGTTGTCTCTATTTTCAATAATTATTTGAATATAAGTAAATAACGAATACTGAATAAACTACTACGATGAAAAATACTATTCCTACATAATTTTAATACATATAAATATATGAAGATAGACGGTGGGTGGAACTCAAAGCGGTGTATCTTGTAATTACAAATCTAGAAAAATTTATTTCATGATAACTAAGAAGATGACTGAACAATGACAGGTGGAAAATGGAAACAAAAAAAAAGAGAAATTCTTCTTATTTTTCTTATCTGTTTCATATTAAATAACAAGATTTATTTAAAAAAAGACATCCGTAGCATCCATGAACATCATAAAAAAAAAACAACAAAAGCTTATTTTATAATGAGATTAACGAATTTATTCAATGATTTATTTCATAGATTCATTCGATTATAGGTTCTTTTATAGTATATATATATAAATATGTTAATATAGTCAATTTATATTTAACTTGAATTGAGTTAACCTTATGGGACAACGCACAGTACCATTGGAGAATTAAAAAAGAAAAGAAACTTAAGAAAGAAGAGAATGAATGTAAAAAGAGAAAATGCATGAAGAAATAATGATTTTAAAATTAGCTGAGTCTTTCGAAGTATTTCAATAAAAAATTCAAGAGAAAGAAAAAACCTCTTTTAATAAAGATTAGCAAACAAGCAATTGAAATATATAACTTAATGATAATTTTTTAAATGATGTTTCCATGGTTGATTATTACTGTTAATTCTTGAATGACGTAAATCATTATTTATTTGACGAAAAACAGATGAAATATTTTGATGATTATCATGTTGAATTTTATCCAATTGTGATCCTAGAAAACAAAAAAATAAAGAAGAGAGATTAAGATACTACTTTAGCATCAAATATATGAATTAAGTTAAATAGTTTTTGTGAAACTCCATCTAAAAGAAGTGTTGAAGGATAAAGGTCGAAATTTGAACCTTCTTCCGCTTTCACAGACGTGACAGACGCCTGAATCAACGCATCTTCATCATCACAGACATAATTACGGGATTAGTATGAGCATTGTTCATTACTTTTCTTTCACATTCACTGCAACATATTGCAATTAATATCTTGTATCATCGACATGTATTAACAGTAGGTAGGAATTCATTAACCGAAATATATATTGATTAATTCCCCCTTTTTTTTTTACAACACTAGCAGCTCCATCGTGTTCCACATTTTAATCCCGCAGGGATAGCGCTTACAACTTTTACAATAGATATTAGTCCTAGATATTTTTCTAAAATGATAGGATGATAAGGAATAAATATGACATTTTTTATTAAATATTCGTTAATAAATAAGTAAAAAAAACTCGAGTAGCGACAATGAAAATTACAGATACGATATAGTAATTATGAACAAAAAAAACACAGATTTCTAGGCAAAAACACTTAGTTTATAATTATACAGAGTATTTTGTTAATTTCAAATCTGTTGCTACTTGTATTGATATCGAAGAAATGGATTTTAAAAACAAGTACTCAATGTGACATGATAAAAATAATGTAAATGGATGTATCCGAAATAGATTCTATATATTAATTATTTAAATGATGTTTATAGAGAAATAATCTTTGATCTCAACAAGAAAAAGAAGTGTTAAGGAGAATAAAATTTATTAAGTAAAGATTTCTGATCGACATATGAATAGTAAATATTTAACTAAATGATATGTGCATCATACTAGCTTAACATACTATATACGAATGCCAGTGTATCAGATATTCATGATAATTGTACATCTGATATAGAACAATGCGCTGTTATTGTTTTTCATTTACTCAAATAATGATATAAAAAAAAACAAAGATTTTATTTTTTGAAGTTTTAGATAGAAAATAAAAATGAGTATTGACGTTTATCTTAAAATGGAGTGTTCTTATACTAATGAACTTATTCGTAATGTTCTTGAAGAAGAAAATGGTTTATTTAATCTAATGAATTCATCAACGTCAAATGGTGATAATATCCTCTATTGGCTTGAATATGAAGATATTGATTTTGATATGCTTTATCGTCTAGCTAAAGAATCGAATAATAAAAAAATTTTAGCTAATTCATATTGTATACGTAAAGGTCTTTTGCGTAAAGCTAATTTTGCATTATTCGTTCAAAAATATTTGTCAAAAGTAAAATAATAAATTTTTTTTTTTTTATTAATATTTATTATTTTTATTTTTCTATATTCATTAGCGACCAGATTCAATTTTACGTAATCATTATCCTGAAACTCATATACTTGATTTAAGTCATCCTGATTATCTTGATGAAGCACTTAATGAAGCATTTGAATTACGAGATATTTTACAAGAAAATACAAAAGAAGATATTGAACCAATTCCTTTTATTCTTAAAGCATCAATTTTAGATAAAGCAAGTGAATTATTTATTTTCTATACTCAATCACAATTGGAAGAATTTTTTACTAATAAATATGATGAAAATGATGATGATGATGATAGTATAGCTAATATACGTGAATGGATTATTCAACGTTATATAAAAAATCCAAAACTTCTTTCAACATATCAAAATCGTAAATTTCATTTACGTGTTTATGTTATTGCTGAAAGAAATCTTCGTATTTATGTATATGATGGTATATTAGCTTTATTTGCATCATTATCATATAATAACGATAAACAATCATTTGATCGTCTTCGTCATATAACAAATACATGTGCACAAATTGATTCACAATTAAATGAAAATGATTTAGTAAAAGAATTTTTTACATTAGAAAATATTGATAATGATATACGTTTAAATATATTTGAACAAATAAAATTAATTATAAAAGATATTTTTACTGGTCTTCATAATGAAATAACAATATTTCAACCATTAAAAAATGCTTTTGAAATTTATGGATTTGATTTTCTTATTAATGAAAATAATGAAGTTTATTTTCTTGAAGCAAATGCTTATCCTGATTTTAAACAAACAGGAAATTTATTAAATATAGTAATTAAAGAATTATTTCAAAATCTAGTACAATATATTATTTTACCATATTTTGGTTATCAACAAATAAATAAAATAACTCAACGTAAATTTCATCTTGTTTATGATAAACAAAAAACTATTTAAAGAATAATACAAGTTTTATGTTTTGTTTTTGATTTTCTATTATCTTTTTTTGTTTGATTATCAGATTTTAATAAAATTTTCTTTGGAACTGTTTTCGATTTGAAAGTTACATTTGATTTTGATTGAGATGACCCTACAAAATGAAATAAATTAATGATTTATTTTAACTCAGGGAGAGATAGGGAGAATCGATATAAAACACTAACATATATATATCTACCTTAGAAACTATTAAATCGATCACGACTGACCTTTGACAAATGATGTTGGAGTTTGTTTGATAATACCATTGGCTTTTTTTGAAATATTGTTAGTAGGTTGTTTTGGTGTAGTAATACGTTGAATAGATTTTGATGGTAAAGTTTTTAATAAGTCAGATGAAGGTATTTGAATGAATTCTTCTTTCAAGATTGGTGATGATAGATTTTCAGATCTTTCTGAGATCAATGATTTTGATGATGGAATAATATTTGATGAAGATGTCTACATAAAATAATGATGTTAATGTAGAATTGATTGATTAGAAAATAAAACATAAGAAAAAAATCTCCTCAACTAATTAATCGCTTTTGAATCGGAAACATGTGCATTATGTAGATTCTAATCATTTATAAATATCCGAAAAATAGTTCAGACCTATTACTGCTATCAGCAGCAATAGATATGAACTCTTTTCAGGGTATTCATAACCCATCAAGGATCTACATGATGCACATAGTTTCAACTTAAAATCAATCAATCAATTGGAGAACGTTTTTTGTGAGTTTTCTTTTCAAGAATTGTTCTAAAAAGACCGAATTTATACAAATCCAAAGAGGAAAACTCGAACTTGATTTTGATAACTAAATTTTTCTAAAAATAAACAAATAATGTATAATGTAATGTGCCTATTTTCATATTATGCAGTGTTCGATACTCTTTCGATTGTAATATTCTGAAAGAAAAATGATACAGAGGTTATGTAACCATTTTGTGTTGTTTGTCATAAAATAGACATATTACATTATAGAAAATTTGTTTTTTAAAAAAAATTTAATTACCAAAATAGAATTGGTGTTCTCCTGTTTATGTTCATATGCAGTGACTTCTAAAATTATTCGATCAGATTTGTTTTCAATTTATTTCTAACAAGAATTTTTGACTATAAAAATTATTACTAATTTTTCCACAAACCGACTTTCCTGGAATACTGTTTGACTCATCCAGAATAATAGAGCAAACAATTCTCGATAAAATAAAACATCTTTCAATTCTCTACAATGTTTTTTGACTAAGATCCATCAACCTTACGGAAGACGCAAAAGTTGGATTTTCTGTTGTTTCGTATAGACACACCATTTTTGTACCTTCCGTAAAGTTGATATATCTTAGTCAAAAAAAAAACATCATACAGAACTGGCATGTGCCTCATTTTATGGATACTTCTTTGTTCTATCATGCTGGGTAATTCAAACAGAATTCTAGGAAATCAAAAACTTGGACTTGGGTTTTCTTTTAGAGATTGTATTCTTGAAAAACTAGCTATCATTTTTATTGTCAAAAGTTCTTGTAGGATATTAAATTCTCTACTCAAGTCACTATTTGGATTCTTTTTACAAGTTATTATTACGAAAAAAAATTGAAACTAAATCTCTATGATCACTTTTTGAAGCCATTGTATATACTTGTCAAAAAAGAAAAATTTTCGAAGACGTAAAAATTTGACTTCACAAGGCTCTAATTAAAAAAAACAGAGTTTCTATTACAGTCTATTCTACTATTTTTTTGAATAACTTTTGATAGAAACATAATAGATACCTGCGGTTTTCACCATTCAAAAGAGAAGAATCAGGACTATCGAAGTATATTGAAATATTCGATTGATCAATTGTTGACCAAACAGATTTCGATACACTTCGATGATCTCGGGTGAAAACTGCAAGTCTCTATGATATTTCTATCAAAAGTTATTCAAAAACCAATAGAACACATTATATTTTGAAATGAATAGTATGTGTAGTAAAGTATTAAAACTTTCAAAAGGAAAGTTGAACATGTTTGCTAAATCATTGATATACTTGTGATATAATTGAAGGTGAAGTTTGACTTTCTTCTAATTTAATTATTTGTGTTGGTATATTTGTTGTTTGTGAAGGATATATCTCTTTAGTTTTCAATGATGCATATTGAGCAATTTTTTCACGTTTGTAAACTTTATTACGATATTCAAGAAAATTTGATAATGCTTTACAATGATTTAATTTTCGATAACGAATATAAGATTCAAGAGAATCACCAATGACTGTATAAACATACTAAAAAAAACCAACAACAATTCTTATTGAACTTAGTTAAATAATAAATCTTACACCTCAAGATCAAATTTTTTAATTTTATTATTAACTGTTAATAAACAATTTTTACCAGATTGATCATATGTTCGTTCGAAAAATTTACTAGAAAAACTAAATATTCTTCAATCCATTTCATACCTATATAATTACATATCAATTTTTTTTGAATGATCATTTATTTTTGTTTTTATTGTAATATCTGTTGATTGATTTTCATTATAAAAATTTTGTTGATGATAAGAATTAAATCTTGGTAATAATAAATATGTTAGTTGTGGATGAGATACTGTTTGAGATGTAAGAAAATTTTTATCAATTTTCTTTTTATTTATTGTATCATAATAAATAATATTCTCAGATGATAATGAATTATATCGATAGATTAAATTTGATTGAGATATTATTTGTTTCAAATGTGTTTCATTGAGAATCACTTGGGAATCAAATCGTGGTAACATACGTAATGGTTCAATACTTTTCTCATCACTATTTTTCATCGAATCGAATAATAAAAAACAAAACGAATTCAATAATTATACGTAACTAAGATAGACTCTTATAGGAAACATTTATTTAATAAGAGATACAAAAAAAAATGTATTTTTTGAAGATAATAGAAAATAAAAGTATCCTCTGCTTGATGAAATTAATAATAAAAAGTCAAACATACTTTTTTGTACGAATCGATCATATTCAACAAAATATCAATAAATTTGTTGTTAGACTTAAAATTAGAACGAATTTATCAATATCTAAAATCGATTTTATTCCTAAATAAAAAATTCTTTTTAGAAAAAAAGAAAAAAAGAAAGACTTAAATGAGTTCATTTATTTTCAAATCAGATGGGATTCGCACTCTTTAATCTCAAACAATAAAACTTAACTTAATAAATATTAGTATACAAAAATTATCAATATCAAGATTTCTAAGATGATGAATGGACATAGGTTTTAACTAGAAGAATTCGATCATTTCGTATAATCTAAACTTAGTGTAACTAAAAATTTATACGATTGAATTTAATTCAAGATTATACATATATTTATGCCGTTTTTTTTCCGCCATCATCAAAACGAAAAAAATAATAATAATAATAATAATAATAATGAACAACAAAACAACAACAAGCAAAGGATCGAAAAAAGAACCATGGCGAACTGAATATTAAGAGAAATACTAATATTTGGAAATATATCTTATCCAAAGACGAAAAGAAAAAAAAAACGAAAGAATTCACATATTATAATAGGACACAAGAGAGAGATAGAGAAAAAAAAGAAAAGAAAAGAAAATCACAATATGCAACAAAATTTAATAATAAGTTTCTATCAGCAGTATATTGGAAAAGTTGATCACAGATGAAAATTCCTATGAAATAAGTTTATTTTTCTGTTGTTTCAGTTTTTATTACTACTGCTGTTGTTTTATCATCATTAGGTGTTTGTATACGACATATACGTTTTACTTTTGCTCGATGATTTTTAAACCATAAACGTATATGTTTTGTTTCAAGTTTAGGAAATTTTGTTCGATATTCACCTTCATTTAATTCTGAACAAATACGTTCAATTAATAAATGATCAGGATGTGTTTCAATAGCAAACCATTGTTCTAATTTCGGTACTTCGCTTGTTGGATCAATAAATATTCTATTACGTCTTGAACGATTATAATCAAATGTTGTTAATTTTGTTGAATTTAATGATGTTTGTGTTGAGGGTGATTGTTCATTACTAATAAAACTTCCATTATCATCATCATTACTTTCATCTGAATGTGTTAATTTTTGTTTTTGTTGATCTGTTAATGATATATCAAATGCTTGTAGATAATTAAAATAATAATTATTATGATGATGATTTTGTTGTTTTTGATTATTATCATCTGTATCATCCATTGGATCATCAACATCATCATCATCAATTTCATCGGATGAATCAAGTTCACATTTTGTTGTATATTCTTGTATAGCTGCTGTTTCTGATGGAACAAAACGACGTTTTTTACGTTTCAATGCAGCACGTGCATTCTTAAACCAATATTGAATATTATAGGGTTCAAGAGCTTTTTTACCTAAATATTTAAAAAAATTTTTACAATCAAAAAAAAAAACAAAAATTCTAAATAAAAAGAAAAAACAAACCTTTTCGACATGGTAAAGCATTAAGTGTTTCACATATTGATGCTATTTGATAACGTGTAGGATGTTTTGTATCAGTAAATATTTGTAATAAACGTGGTGTTTCTTCATGTGGATCAAATGTAGTACGTTCACGTTGACGTCGATTTGTTGGTGTTGAATCATATTGTTGTTGAGTTAATGATAGAAGACTAGCAAATGTATTTGGATAATGAATATTTGGTTTGAATGATGATGAACATGGTTTTTTTGAAAGATTTAATGGAATATTATCACTAGACAAAAAAAAAATTTTTTTTCTTTATTAAATTAAATTTTAAAAGATATTTTATTTTATTTTTTTTTTATACCCGTCAGTAGTAGTATTTGAATTTGATGAATAACCATTTGGACTATGTTGATCGTCATATTCACAGTCATTTTTTTCTCTATCATCACTAATTAATGATATTGATTGTTTAAATAAATGATTTGATCGTTTATCTTCCGATAAAATCGAATATCTATTTATAGAAAAAGTTTTTTTCTTCTCGTTTTTTTTTTTTGGATGATTAATTTTCTTACTTGGAAGATATACGTATTTGTAATATAGCAATATTCATAAGATCACCTAAAATATCTTGAACAGTAACTGTACGATTTTCAGAAACTGTTTCAATTGATAATGGATTCCAATTTTTAATTAAAATTTCGCCTAAAAGAAGAAACAAAAAATTAGATTTTCAAATTGTATTTTGTTTACCATTGATTCTTTCATCTTTTTCAATTTTACCAACATCAGCTTCCATACTACGTAAAACAACATTAACAATATCATGAAATTTTGTATGTGCTGGAATAATTACAAAACCATCTTGTAAAACACGTTGTGGACACTCATCACGTGTGACCACACAGTGTACTGGTAAAAATTTATTGTTTAACGCCAGACCTACAACAACAACAGCAAAAAAAAAAAGAAAATAATAATAGAATTTCACACATTTTGTTTGATTTGAAAAAAAAAAAGTAAGTGGTGTTAGAATTGTCTTGATGATTGAACACATTCTATTTCCCTTAAGCAATGTATTACCTGAAGATAATTTGTCTAAATGACGTGAAACCATTTTTTTATTACACGCAAACGAAAAAAAAAAAAAGAAAAATTTGCTTAAAATCAAACGAATAGTTTGTTGTATATGTTTTCTTCTTTTTTTTTTTTCAATTAACAAATCCTTTTACTGTTTCTTGCTCTTCGTGCTTCAACTCAGAACAAGAAGAAAAGAAGATATGATACACGAAAATGATCAGGGGGAGACGTCTTTCTTTTTTCTCTTTCATTTTTTTTTCTCTCATTACAACCAATCAATTGACAACGAACATATCGGAGTTTTGTAAATCATACCGTTTCTTTTCTCAACATCAATTTTATTAGTCAATATTTCGTAACACTCAAGCCGCACTGAACCGAAACAACCAACCAGCAAAAGCGATAAAGAGAATGGGCAAAAAAAAAAGAACCTTGTCAATGAATCAATAAGGACATATTACTGTGTATCGTCTTCGATGTTGATAATTTTCACCAATTGCTTTTTTTTTCTGCATTATATTTATTAGTGATTATTGCAATAAAACAAGATATCAATCATGTCCTATATGTTCGTGTTCTTTTTTTCCTCTCTTCATTTTTGCTGAATAATTTGTTTTATCTTGATTTCCCCGCTCTCGTTTTATTGCACAACGTTAGCCAAGCGTAACCATCTTAGTATGTATATGTATGAGCTAACATCCAATCATACGAATGCGTTAGAGAAAGAGAGAGAGAGAAGACGCTGTAAAGCAAATTGACAAATGTCATAAAGTCTACGTTCTTCTCTGATTTTTAAAAAAAATCGTATATTTTTAACGATGTATTGATCTGTCAACATATACTTGTGTGTCTTAAATCAACAGAGCAGACGCGCTTCCATAGTATAGGCACGATTGCTTTACTCAACGTTCTCGTTAGTGAGATAAGTAATACCCTATTCAATTTCACTAGTCGTTTCGCCTCATCCACTGTGATGAGTAACAACTGTTGTTTAGTGATAATAGCTTCTCTATGGTTATATCAACACCCAATAAAACTTCGATGCGAAATAACAGAATGAAATACAATTATATATATATATATGTATATATACACTCACTTGCTGAATTGAACAGGCCAAGTGACATTTTGATAGTTGAGAAAGAATGAGGTTAAGCTTTATTTTACGTTTTTTCTTTTTTTAAGTGTTAATCACATTGGCAAACCAAATACATACATAGCAATGGCAACCATGATTTCGAAATGAAGATGAAGCCGGCTGATGCCATTCTTTCTCTCTATCGTCTCGAGTCTTGAATAAAAAGAAGAGGAGAGAGAGAGAGAGAGAGAGAGAGAAAAGAGAAGAGCATTTTAACTTAAGTTGACATACGGATGCATTATTTCTCACTTTTTTTTAAAGAGAAAAAGAAAGTGAGTCGGAGTTATAAAATGCAATCGAGGGAAAGAGGAAAATTGAACGTTTCAACCTAATGCTCGACGATTATCCCAACAACAACAACATTATCGTATATAACTGTCGTTGGGAATGAGAAAAGGGACGGAAATGTGCTTGAAAAAACTTTGATAAAGTGGTAATGGTAAGAAAAAAGTGAACGCAAAACGTTTGAAGGATTTTCTCATTGTTTTTTCTTTCATTTTAGTCTGCAATTAGAGATAATAACTAACGCATACTCATTTATATATTCTTCAGTCGGAAGACATTTAAAAAAAAATAAATTTTCATTTCGAAGACACTTATGAATAAAGCACAATAATAGAAATAAAAACTAATTTAAGGTAGTCGTAGTTATATAAAATCCTAGTGCGTGTTAATCATAGTGTGAAAAGTCGATGACGGAAGTACATGGCAAGAAAAAAGGTGAGAAATTTCTGCTTATATGAGCACTTTAGTAATAGACTACAACTTTGAAAGATTAAAAACATGCAAAGTTTTAGCTCTAAAAAAGCAAATGAACATTAGAAAGAAATAATGAAAATGACAGACCAAACTCTTGCTTAGTTTCTTTTTTTTTTTTATTCTCACTTTCTAAATTATTCAAAATGTCATGCACACATACACATACGCTTCCTAGCTGACAAACGATCTTTACCTATTCTCTGATTTTGTATGCAAGCCTAGTAGCGAACAAGGATTACCTGCGAAAGTTTTATGACAGCTACTTGACCGAAAAAAGAACAGCTAAACGAAACGAATGGTACCACCAACACCAATTCACTAAGCTTGTAAATATTATAATCGACAACGATAAAAAAAAGGGAGAGAGAGAGAGAGAGACACAGAGGTGGT